CATTCTTTTAAAAAAAAACAAAACACCCCAGGACATGCTGAGAGAAAGAGAGAGAGATACATTGATCGGTTGCCTTCCATATGTGCCCCGCCTGGGAATCGAACCCTCAACCTTTCAGTGCACAGGGTGCTGCTTAACCAGCTGAGCCACTCTGGCCAGGCTTCCTGCCCATTCTTACCTTGCTGTGTCCAACCCACCTTGTGCCTCAGTACTCGGGAGTGAGATGAAGACAGGGTAACCCACTTCCTCGAGACGGCCTGCCGCCTAGGTTACTTCTTGTCCTTCGGTCTGGGCACAGCAAACCCGTGCCACTTACTTCTCCCCCAAGTTGAACTACCTTTCGACAGCAGTTCCGCTGCTCACGCCCGAGTGCTGGGTCCGCATGGCTGCAAGGTGTCTTTGGGACATAGCTGCCATTGATTGGCAGTGTCGGGGGACTTTCTTACATGTACTTCCCTTGTTTCTTGAATTAGATATATCTTCATAGTTTTGCTTTTTCACTAGTATTTTAGTGGGTTGCGGGGCTGGTAGGTGTGTCGGAAGCCCAAACCTACGGCCTCTATCCGGTCTAGTTAAAGACTTGCGGCGTTGTGGTCTAGTTCTCAGCACCAGTAGGTCATGCTTACCTGATGAGGCTCTGGACTGTGTCGTTTTGCTTTCCAGGCAGGATCAGTAATGTCACTGCCCATGTGGAAGCCACGCAAATGAGAGACATGGCTAGCAGTCCCTGTCCCTCTCAGCCCCACCTGCCGTTCTCAAAGGTTCTGGCAAAGGGAAAGCACCCCCCTTTCAGGGAAAAAAAGGACTAGTTGCCATGCCAGGTAACATCTCCTGTGAAAGGCATCGGAGTGAATATCCTTGAGGATAGCCTCATTTCCTTTACTGGGGTACCGGTTCATTCGTCAGTCAGTTTTCTGGCTAGAACTCTGGCTCAGTTCAGGTTTGTTGGTCTAAATTCTGAGGCTGACAGCACACTGGAGCGATTTCTGCAGCATGTTCGTTTCTGCCTGGCCAGCTCTTGACTCGTATTAAAACTTAGTGTGTGAGGTTCTAGGTCTCAGGGTAGGAGCTGAGACTGACAGAGCTAAACGGGACCCCAGGTCTGGCTCATCAGCTAGGTCTGTGACTCTTATTTCTGGATTACTTTTTTAAAAAGCTGATATCTGGGTTTCTCCTAAACCAGTTAAATCCCAATATCTGCAGGTAGGGTCCAGGGTATAGGATTCTTTAGTTTTGGTTTGTTGTTTTCCTTAAAGCAGCCAGAGTTGAGAGCCAGAGCTGCAGTTTAAAATGGTCTTTATAGATGGAGACCTTGATGATCAGGAGTTGAAGTGACTTGTTTGAAACTCACAATTAGTGTCATTTGTGGGTCTTTTGCATATAAGAGACAGAAGAGTCAACTTTGGCAGGTAATGGGTTCATGTAAATAGAAAGCTTTATTGGGGTTGGTTTTAAATTGGCTTTGTCCTTGGCTTAAATATTGTGGACAGAAGTCACTCATAGATTTTGCCCTTCTGGCTTGGTTCTTCTTTTTTTTTTTTTTTTAATCCTCAACCGAGGACATTTTTCCATTTTTTGTACAGATAGAGTGGGAGGGAGAGAGAGGAAGGGAGAGAGAGCGAGAAACATCGACGTGAAGAGACACATCGAGTGGCTGCCACCCGCACGACCAACCAGGGCCGGGGACAAACTGCAACCGAGGTACGCGCCCTTAGCGGGAACCGAACCCGGGTCTCTCCGGACCGCAGGCTGACGCTCTAACCGCTGAGCCAAACTGGCCAGGGCTGGCTTGGTTCTTCTTGAGCTCCTCAGCTGATGCCTTGTTGGACTCTCCACCTTCCCCTTGAGGCTTCCAGCTTATGCCGTCACACCACAGGAAAACCTCTGATTGGTGGACGTCCCCATTTCTTAATGTATCGTTGGAGCCAGTGCCATGGTCTGACAGGCTTGAGCCAAACTAATGCCCCTGCCCTCAGCAGGTAGGGAGACAGGCAGTAGAGCAAGGCTCTCCAAGTGGGGTAAGACTCTGGCCACGGGAGGGAGCCCATGACGGTTACAAAAGGTGGGATTGCAACAAATTGCCACTATGTTATCAGGCAGTTAAAAGTTCTCTATGCTGCCAGACCCTGGTGTGGCTTAGTGGTTGAGCAGCGACGCCCCCCGCAAGAGGTTGGGGTTCTATTCCCCTAGTGGGGGGCATGCAGGAGGTGGCCAGTTGATGTTCTCTCCCTTCCTCGCTCTCCACAATAAAAATAAATAAATAAAAGCTCTCTATGCCCTCTGCTGAGGTAGGTTTCTAAATAACTATCCAATGGGGTTGGTATTTTTAGATCTATTTTGCAAAAACTGAGGCTCAGTCACATACCCTCATGGAAGCCACATGGATTAGGCCCAAGGTCAAGACTCTCTTACTCATTGTCCTGATACAAAGAAGCAGGATTATTTGGGATAATTAGAGCGAACTAGCTCTAAGGTCCATAGTAAATAGATACGTTTAAAAAGTTTTCCATATACAAGGAAAATAAGTAAGTCTAACAATTATTCATTTGGTGTGCTTTAGTGTATGGAAAAAAAATAAATGAGGAGGCTAGGAGATGGGAGGTCTTATTTTTGATCCCTAGAAATTTAGAATGGTCACTTCTTGGGGCTTTGTTGTTTTTTTTTTATCCTCACCTGAGGACATTTTTTTGCATGTGTCTTCAGATACAGCAGGAGGGATAGAGAGGGGAAGAGAGAGAGAGAAACATCAATGTGAGAGAGACACTTCGACTGGTTGCCACCCACACGACCCCAACCAGGGTGGGGACAAACCGTAACCATGGTACGTGCCCCTAGCAGGAACCAAATCCGGGACTCTTTAATGGCTGAGCCAAACTGGCCAGGGCTTCCTGGGGCTTTGTATGACTCATCTGCAGAAGCTGGGATGGAGTGGATGGTAGGTACTCAAACCTTCATCGTAGTGTAAAAATGGGTAGTGTTGTTGTCTGTAAGGACCAATGAACAGGCATTAATGACACCAGGTTTACTTTTTAGATGTGTCTTAGGATTTTAAAAGATTCTCATTTCCCTTGGAAGGGTTCGTATCAGTGGAGTATCTTTGTTCTTTGTTCAAGCATTACTTCTCTTAAAGCCAGTCTTTGAAATTGATGCGTAAGCATCAAATATTTTATGTGTTTCCCAGTTTTCTTCGTGACTGTCTCAGTGTCTACAAAGCTAATGCCATCATGGTGAGATTGTTATTATTACTCTCATTTGGGGCAGAAAATGTATTGTGTTTTCCTGGTGCCATCTTAATCTTTAATTGACTATATAGTTCACCTGCCCACTTTCTTTGCTTTTTAAAAACACTTTGATTTTATTTGGGTGCATTTAAATGTTAACATAGACAGCTGGGATGTATTGTTTGAAGTGTAATTCCATTTCGTTTTGGATTCTGGGCACCTGTGATATTTGTCTTTTCATACATCAGTGCACTGAGGTGTGGGCTCACAACAAAAGGAATTTGCATAGGGGAGGGGAGGGGAGGGGAGAGGAGGGGAGGGCTTTGAACAATATAGCTGGCAGATTGAAGCCCTCCACAATATGATAGAGAAGATTGGATTCAGTTTGAGTTTTCAAAAAATACATCATTAAGCAATGTTTCTTTCTTTTTAAAAAGTCTTCACCTGAGGATATGTTAATTGATTTATTTTTAGAGAGTAGAAAGGAGAGAGATACATTGATGTGAGAGACATCAATTGGTTCTGGGGGGAGGGGCTCGCTGACCCCCCCATACCCATCCTGACCTGGGATTGAACCTGCAATTTTTTTTTTAATCCTCACCCGAGGGTATTTTGTTCAGATAAAGTGGGAGAGAGGGAGAGAGAGAGAGAGAAACATCAATGTGAAAGGGACACATCGAGTGGCTGCTACCCACACACCCCAACCAGGGTCAGTGACAAACTGCAACCGAGATATGTGCCCTTAGCGGGAACCGAACCTGGGTCTCTCCGGACCTCAGGCTGAGGCTCCAACTGCTGAGCCAAACCGGTCAGGGCAAACCTGCAGCCTTTTGGTGTACAGGACGATGCTCCAACCAACTGAGCCTCCTGGCCAGGGCAGTGTTTCTTTTCTGTTGTCCTTGGAGGGTTTTGAATTTTATGTCCTCCGGTACAAAAGGCGACTATTTGGGGTCCAAAGGATGTGGAAGTCTGATACTCAGCATTGGGAATCTCCTAGGCCTCAGAGTGGGTGGCAGAAGCCCAGGCTTTGATGTAGGTGTGCTTAAGTTTGGGTCCCTAACCTGCTGCATACTTACCTCTGTGACCTGGACTCTGAGCCTAATTCCTCTATCTGTAAAAAGATGGAATGACCCTTGTTCTCCGAAGATCAAATAAGGCTGCTAAGGCCCTTGGCACCTGGGATGTAGGCTTATGATGTAGTTGGAACCAAAACCGTGAGTTCCAAGTCTACTAGTTGTATGACCCTGGGAGAGTTCAAGTTAACTTCTCTATGCTCCAGTTTGCTTGTCTATGGACTGGTCCCACTACCGGGACCATTGTTATCTACTGCCTGGTAGTCTGTTGCAGATTAAATAAGCTAATGTATATAAAGTGCCTAGTACATTGTGCTTCTTGGCACAAGGTAAAAGCTCACTGTAATCTGTGATTAATATTAATAGTAACCACGGTGATTTCTCTAGAGCAGTGGTTCTCAACCTTCCTAATGCCGCGACCCTTTAATACGTTTCCTCATGTCGTGGTGACCCCCCAACCATAAAATTATTTTCATTGCTACTTCATAACTATAATTTTGCTATTATGTCTTAGGCGACCCCTGTTAAAGGGTCGTTTGATCCCCAAAGGGGTCACAACCCACAGGTATTGATAACTGCTGCTCTAGAGTGTCCAGTGGTTGTTTCTCTGTAAAGCCAAGAGGTTTTCTCAGTTATTTCAAGGTCTGTGCTTCCAGGAAGCCACTTAGCAATGTGCACTTGACACCTTCCTGTGTCCAGTGGGGTGATGACTTGGTCTCACTGTGGCTCTCCCTGTCTTCCAGCAGTGACAGAAGGCTACGTGGGGTCCCTTCAGGACGACAGACACAGCAGCTCTGCACAGATCCGCAGGCGCAAGGCCTCAGGGGACCCGTACTGGGCCTACTCCGGTAAGTTGACCTGTTCTGACCATGGTCGCACAGGTCGGTAACATCCCATCACACCCCCGGAAGGCACACATGAATGCTTTCGTGCCCGACTTCTGTTCGTCCAAACCTTTTGTATTTCCCTAAAAGTTAAAATAGTCAAGCCTGTTTTTCCTTGATGTTATTAAATTGCCTTAATTTATCTCTCCCACCTGCTTTCTCAACCTGTTTTTCCCCTGAATTTATTTTCTGAACTTTATTTGTTAATGAGTTATTGTACCAAACTTGTAATTTTCCAAAAGATGCAGCCTTTTCTCTTCTGTGTTTCCAGCGGCTGTGATTTCAGACAGCAGGAAATACAAGGCTAATCTTGAGCTGCTGAAGGTTTGCTAAATACTACAGGGCATTGCTCATCAACATGACCTGTTATGCTTTACCTAAGAAATGCAGCCTTACTTTCCTATCAGACCGTAACTGAATGTACTTCAGCCCTCTGCTGTATGGCCTTCTGTAGTTCTTGTCATTTTTATTTTCACTGTTGGCCTTGGAGCCAGTGAAGACAGAGCACACTACAGGGTGCACAAAAGTAGGTTTACAGTTGTGAGTATGCAAAACACAGTTTATTCTTGTATTACTATTTATTAATTATTGTATTTTCTTTACAAATAACTGTAAGCCTACTTTTGCCACACCTTGCATTATAACTGTGTTGAATATTGCATTGGAAATAATTTTATTGCATTATTAGGGGGTGAAATGAAGACCTACCAGAATACACAGACCTTTCTAAATTAGGCGTCTAACAACTAATGAAAATATGATAGATGATTTGTTTCCAAAACAGATTTTAATGCTCCATACATGGAAAATGTAGCCTGTTAAGGAGGAATGCTTGAAGAAGATAGACCGCTTTGGAAATTATTTTGGCACCGAATAATTCAAATCTTTGTGTGAAAGGACTTGGAGGCCTGGGGTATTCATTTTAATGATAAACCTATGCATTATGCAATGTTGTTGCAGAACTGAATGATATTATTTTCATAATGATACTCAGGTTTTAAATCCTGAATTTCTACCTGCAAATCCTCTTAAATTTATGTCAGTGTAAAATTTATAGGCCTGATCTTTAATTACACCTTATCTATTGGCTTTTTGCATCCCTTTGTCTCTTGATAAATCTCCTGCCCCTACAGGGAGAATAGTCTATCTGTTTTGTTTTGCAAAGAACAGATAGTGATTCTGAAGTCTTCCATCACACCCAGTTTCTTGCGATTAGAATGATCTAATTAGAGCCTTTTTGTCAACATTTTTGATAAATGAAGGAAATTGGGAGATGAAATTCAAAATTACACACACACACACACACACACACACAGCTTCTTGCCAAGAAACCCAAAGAAAATTTATCTTTTTGTACTCCGTGGCTCCAATTCGGTTAAGAAGAGGCAAAAGTGGCTGCCGTTTACAGTTCCCCGATGTAGAATGCTAACGGTGCTAGTCGCAAATTGGAAGTTTACGTCCCATCGGCATCTCCGGTCGAAAGTGGCAGTGAAGGGAAGGGATGCAAGGCATACGCTCTTCTCGTTACTGAGTTAGGAGTGGGCAGAGTGGTGTGGCCTTTGGGATGGTGTAATTGTTGACATCGTTAACTCTGGTGGACTTAATGAGTCTCCGTTTTGTATTTCTGGAATGCCTTGGTCTGGATTTGGGAATGTCTTATGTTGATGGAGAGTCTGCCAGTTCAACTTCAGGTTGCATGCTTCTCTGGAAAGGGTCAGGCAGTAAGTATCTCAGGCTTTGCAGGCTATATGGGCTCTGGCTAACAACTGCACTCTGCGGCGGCGGTGCAAAAGCAGCCATAAATAGCACTGGACAAACTGGCTGTGTTCCCATGAAATGTTATTTAAGAACACTGAAAGTTGAATTTTTTATAATTTTCATGTGCCAGGAACTATTGTACTCCTTTTTAATATTTTTTCCTCAACCATTTAAAAATATAGAAGCCATTCTTGTTTTGTAGGCCATACTCAAAATAGCTGGTCAGTTGCATAGGGCCCACAGGCTAGTTTGTCAGCCCTGTTCTAAGTGATTTTTTTTCTGGAATTGGGATAGGACAGTCATATGAAGATGCCCAGAAAGATACGAACTGCTTTGGAAGAACCAGTGAGGTCACTTGCCTTGTAGGTGTAATTCAGAAAATAAAAGGAGGAGAAGAGAATGAGAAAGGTATCAATTGATGGTGCACAGTCCTCTTGTTGTAAAGAGTTCATCCTGAAAAGTACCCCATGGTGGCCCCTCAGTGGGTCCTGCACACCTGTGGGGAGGGAAATAAAATTCCCTCCTATTCTTAGAAAGTTCTTCTGGCTGGACTAATAATAAAAATGACTTAAGGCCAATTAACGGGAGAAAAATCAAGTTTTAATACATGCACAGGGGAACTCACATAAGCATAAAAATTTTAAAGACAGTAAGACAAAATGCAATATATATGTCGATCGGGACTAAGGAAGTAGGGAGAGTTAGGGGTCTAGGACTGCAAAGGGAAGTAAGGAGAAGAAAATAATGTTTAGTAAACAAATGCTCGCTGGGCCATCCTGAAACAGTGGAACATAAGGAGCACTTTGCTCGAATGGGCCTTGCCAGGCTGCTCCCTGGCTATCAGGCTGGTTCATGTTAAACTACAGTTTTCCGTGATGACCGCCCTCTTCATGGGGCAGGCCTTCTGCATACATTCTTCTAGACAGTTAGGGAAAGTCACAGGTTTTTCCTGAGTTCTTTTGTTGCTTAAAAAGAACCAGCTTAAAATAAGAACTATCCCAACAGACATATTTTGGGGTAGCAAAGTCTGCTTCCCCTCACACCGAAGTGGTGGAATATTGGTTCTCGTGTCCAGAAGACTTGGGGTCCCATAGACACATTCCTTAGCACTTGGCAAACAGACAAAGAAAGGGCAGGAAGGAGTAAGAGTTGTTGCCTACTACTTTTGGCACATCAGACCTGGGGCTTTATTTTACTTATTTATTTAAAAAATTTTGGGCGGGGGGGTGTAATTTCTTGATTTGAGAGACAGAGATAGAGAGAGACATCAATTTGTGTTCCACCCACTCATGCATTCATTAGTTGATTCCTGTACCCGAAACCCTGGTGCGTAGGGATGATGCTCTAACCAACTGAGCTACCTGGCCAGGGCCGGACCAGGGACCGGGGCCTTGACACTGCGGCAAAGCACGTGTTGTGCCATCAGCTGCAGGTATACACCTCTGGTGGAAATGTTGCTGGGAGGGTGGGGCTGGGAAAGGAAGGCTCACTGTTTGTAGAGGGAAATGCTTTCAGTTTAGCAAGAGCAAAGCAGGGCACTTGTGAAAGATCGCTTTAATGGTACAGATTTTAATCTCATGCCTCTAATTCACAGATTTGTCTTTGTTCCTCCTAAATTAATGCCATTGGTGCTTTGGTGGTATGGTGTGTGAGAAGGTGAATTTTGAATTCATGTTGTTAGACTGTGGTTCAAATCTTTTATTTCTTTTTTAAAATATGTTTTCATTGATTTTTTAGAGAGAGGAACGGAGAGAGAGAGAGATAGAAACATTGATGTGAGGTAGAAACATTGATCGGTTGCCTTGCACAGGCCTACTGGGGATCGAGCCCACAACCCGGCCACATGCCCTGAGTGGGAATCAAACCGGGACCTCTCAGTCCACAGGATGATGCTCAATCCACTGAGCCACACTGGCCGGGCCAAATCTTTTATGTCTTAATATCCTTATGATGTTCAAGGACATTCAATTGCTTGGAACCTCAGTTTTCCCATCTTTGAAATAGGAATAATTAATAGCACTTTACTCATAGAGCTGTTATGGTGATGAAATGAGATGATATGTGTGAAAATTGAACAAATCCCTGGCAAAGAGTACCTAATATTATTTCTTCCTCTTTTTGACACTGTTATTATTGTTGTTATTGGAGCTCTCAGTGGGTAGCTGTGATTGACAGTGGGCAGACATTAGGTAATACTGAGAGCTAAGTAAGCTAAATTCTATCATTCGTATTTCACCAGAATTTCCCATTTGGGATTTGGGACTGAGGGTTACGTAAACTATCCTCAAGTTCAGGGGTCGGTTGGCAAAGTACAAACCACCGCCTATTTTCGAGAGTCAAGTTTATTGGAACGCAGCCATGCCTATTCCTTTGTGTATTGTCTTTGGCTGGTTTCATGGTTCACATAGACCTTTGACCAAAAAGTCTAGAATATTAATATCTGGCCCTTTACAGAAAAGGCTTGCCAGGTTCTGCTCACACTGATACAGCCTGGGTTTTGGAGCAGATGTTAGCCTGACTCAAACCAGGAGTGTTCAGAGATTTGAAACATGTCTCCCCACCTCCCCTCGGGCCTTGCATTTCCCGTGAGCTGGCATATCCTTGGCAAGTGTTCAGGCCTTCATGGTGGTTCTGGTAGCCCTGCTTCTGGAAAGGACTTGGGAGAAACAAAGATGAGCAAGTGGGATGGGGAGGGGATGGATCAGGGAGATGTGTGGGTGTTGGCCGTTCTGTTGCCTCTCCCCCATATTACTTTCCTGTGGGTGGGGTTTGGTGGATGATGCTGGTCTGGTCATTCCAGTGGCATCCATCCCAGTCATTGGAGGAGGAGAGTTGCCTAAATATTAGAGCTATGGAGAGCTTGTTTTTAGGATATTATCATAATAGTAATTTATTAATATTAATGTAGCTTTTCACTGTAGAACTCGCCAGGGTGCGTCGTTCTGGGGAACACATATATCCTGTTTGTACTGAAGGGCCAAACACTTGACCCCTGTGGGCTCATCAAGCAGGGCCATTGTGAGCACCTGCAGCTCCAGCACAGCGGACTGGAGATGTGTGTTCTGGTGCCACTGAGGTATCTGCACATTGGTTATCTTGCTGGTTCTTAATTTTTCTACTGCAGAAAGATGGGTCTTGCCTGCCCAGTGTGGCTCAGAGGTTGAGCGTTGACCCATGCACTAAGAGGTTGCTGGTTCGCTTCCTGG